TAGTATAAGCCTGTCGGGACTTGTATGGTGTTAAGTCCATGAGCTGTGAGACAAAGACGTTTGTCACTCAGCCTGCAAATGGACCTGGACAAGAAACCCATCTTCTTCCTGCCCTCCCTGTGAATATGCTAATCCTATTGAGTGCAGGAGCGGGCCCCATAAAACAGGGAATTGGCTTTTTGGGGGAGCGAGGGGAGAGAAAGAGAAGTCCCTTCTGCATCCAGCAAGGTTTTCCTGTTACAGCACTCCTGCCGATTCACTCCTGTTGGGTTTGGAGCCATGATGTGCTGTTCGAGAAATACAGCCTTGTTTTTCAAACTACATGTACTTCCAGGTGGCACTTGGCCCAGTAAAGCTGCCATAGTGTTGTAACCAGAGAGTACTGTGATGTCCTGGAAAGAGTCTGCTCTTGTTCTCCCACACGTGTGTTTGGGACAAACCAAGGGCACATCAGTCCTTAAAAAGGGGGGAAAAAACCATTTTTGGCTGGAAATTCATGCCACTTCCCTGGTTTTGACATGCCTGTGCTCCCTGACTCTTCCTTGCTCTGAAAACTGCATTGCTGTCCTCTCTTGTGGGATTTGCAACTTGTCACCCAGCTGCTGTGGAGGATGAGCATTGAGATGCTGGAGCTGTGATTGAGTGCAAGGTCAACACTGCCTGTAAAATGGTCCTGAGAGTGGATTCAGTGCTCACAGGCAGCAGACACACCACTGAGAGCTGTGCACCTTGGGAGAAATCAGCCTTTGGGCAACCCTCCAGGAGAGGGTGGGTCCAGTTCCAGGACTGTCCTGGGCTTCATCTGTTCACACGGCTTGAGGGTCTTGCAAACATATGAACAATGTGCCAGCGGTCCATCAGTTTCCACAGCAAAATCTGACATCAAGAGGTGCCTCCAGATTGATGTAAGTTGTCTGCATCTCTCCAGGTAGCTCTGTTTGCTTCATTGTCCCCTGTGCCTGGGGCAAGACACGGTCATCCTCTCTTGGGCCCACATGCACTGTTTGGGCAGCCTTTTCTTGGGCATGGACCTGAAGGATGACTTGCTGTCCTGCTGAGGACATGAAAATTTGTCTCCCCATCCTCTAGCCTGAGGCCAGCTCTTGCTGTCTTTCTGCTGTTGTCCTGGCAGGACTCTGGTGTCCTAAGCACAAGGAGTCTGTGTCCAGGCTCCTGAGCCTATTTGGGTGGGGTTTTTTGACACTTTCATCAAATAACACTGATGTGGGAGTTGAATGTCCTGCCAAAACTGCCTGGTTGGGTATCTGCAAAGAAAAGCTCTGCAGAACAAACAGGGTAGCTGGAGAGGTAGGCAAGGCAGGTGAGTCTCAGGAACATCATGTCTAGGGCTGCTCTACTGTTGGCCAAGGCTTCCAGCACAGAAATACGTGCTATTAGCTGGTAGCACATGCAGCATCAGTGCCATGCACCCCTGCCATGCATGCCCAGGCACACTGTGCATTCCTCCTCCCGCGCACCGGCATGCTGCATGGGTCAGCCCTCCGGCTTTGCTCGTGTTGGGCAACAGCGTGCTCGGTCAGAGGCTCTCGGCTGTTCCCCGCTCCTTGCAATGCATGGCAATCCCTTGTCCTGGCTTCTTGTGGGGTCAGAAGCCAGGGCAGAGCTGCCGCTGCTGCTCCCACAACGTGCCAACGTCTGCCAAGCCCAGGCAGATGGCTGGAGTTGTGTGCTTTTGCCATAAACAGAAATCTCAGCTAAAGGCTGATGTGCCCATATGTATGAAATCTTGCATGTGGTTGTACCCGAGACCTGGCTCGTGACTCCATAGCCATGGTCCACATCCTGCTTTCCTCCTCATGACTCTACAGCTGGGGCTTTTCCTGGGTTGTGAATGCACTGCCACCTCCTGAGCCTTTCACCCCTTCTTTCTCCATCTGCTTCATCCCCTCTACAATTCAATATATAAAGCCCCCACCCCTGTAACAACAAGGAGGGTAGGGAGCTGGCTGAATGCCTCACCCGGCTTCCTGCCATGCCCTGTCTTTTGGGCTTGCCCAAGGGAGGATGCTCCCAGGTCCAACCTGCGCAGATGAACCAGAAGGGTAATATTCAGAGCATTTCTGTTAACCTGTAGCCAGGAGAGAGCTGCCAAGGAGGCCGCGCTGAAACCTGAAGCGGCTGTTTTTCCCGAGACTCAGCACTTGGCAGGGAGAGCAGACGGACAAGTGGCGGAGCGGGGAGGGATGCAAGCGCCCTGAGGGGCAGGACTGCTGGTGCCTGGGGAAAGCATGCTGGCTTACCTATTTGCCTTTGGGGATTCATTTCCATGTCCGCCTTGTCCGAGATCATGAGGAGAGTCAAGAGGAGGCTGGGGTCATTGCCGACCCTTCTGTCCTTACATGTGGCTCTTCCCTTGGTCACACTCTCTGCGCCATGTACTGGGCATCTCCTTCAGCAGGGACAAGCAATGGCTGGTTTTCCCCTCGTGTTGGTCAGAAAGGTCAGGAGATAATCCAAGTGTCCCTCTCAGCTCGGCTGCTGTGGGGTTCAGCTGAGCCAGCCCAGCCGGCAGCGTTTGCCCCGCCTGGACCTTTTTTCCCTTTATAGCTCAGTGTTATCTCAAGGTCTGTGGCATTGCAGCCGGTGCCGTGTTTGCCTTGCCTCACAGCACCTGCCTGCCAGCCGGTCGCTTCCCACCCATCTCCCTCCTGCTCCTGCGTGGTAGCAAGTGGACTTGGGGGGGTGTGGGAGCCCTGAGGGTGGGGGAACCCCTGCACAGGGCTGCAAGTCAGCCCCAGTGCTGCCAGTCCCAAGGGAGTGAAGACACTGCATAGCAGGGAAGTTGCCCAGTGTGGGATGGTGGGAGAGATACTCGAGGGCATCTGTCCTCTCAGCTTTGCTTCCCTGCTTTTTTTTTTTGTGCAGGGCTGGGTATTGAATCAGGGACTGGGATGCTGTCCCAGCCTGGGTCTCTGCTGCCAGGACTGGTGCTGGATGTATGGCTGAGCTGCCATGCCGTGCCCTGTCCAGGCAGCATCAGCTCCTCCAGCCATGGGGAGTGCCAAGACTTCATCCAAAGCTGAGATGCTGTTAAAAATAGATCAGTCGTGAACTGGTTTTCTCCTCCTTGGTTCCTGGCCCAAGAGCTCATTCCTCTCTCTGAGCTGGCTTTGAAGCTATTTGGATGCTGTGAGACACAGGCTGCATGCCAGCCTGCCATTGCAGGGAGGCTTGGAGAGTGGAGAGCTGCAGAAGTGTTATAGGTGGCATAGCTGTCCCCAAAATATTTTGTGGTTAGTGAGTGCTTTCTCCCAAAAAAAAGCATCGCTGGAAAAAGAATCTGCTAAATAAAATGGGAAACGAAGCTGGGATAGGAGGGGCTGTTTGCTCCTCTGCTTGCACATGGTGCTCTTGTTGAGGAGACACAGGCACCCGAGCACTCCTGGCCACAAAGCGATGCTCGCCTCAGCCCCACAGCTTCCTAGAAAATGCCTGTCGGGCTGCTGCCTCCCCTTATCTCCGCAACCCACAGTGATCCCACCGGCCCCTCCACCTCATGGCTCTGCAGGAGCTCCTGACGCTTGCTGCAGAGCCCCCACGTCCTGGGCTGGCTGGGTTGCTCATGCTTTTGGGGAAAAGGCTGTGTCTCTCACTTTGAGATGGTATTCTGGATCCCAGTTTCCTCTTGTAGCCCTTTTCTGTCCTAGTTCTTCAATATCATTTTTCAGGTGTGAACACTGAGTCTGGAGACAATTTTAAGATGCAGCTGTGAAACCTATTATCAGCGTCCCTGCTATCAAATACATGAGGTTCAGGGCTGCACGTAACCACTGAGCAATTAAATGGCAGCCCTGGTGATGAATTACAACTGAGACCTCCTGGGGCTAAATAAATATTGGCTGATAACTACTGATAAAATGAATTTCCATGTGCACCCTTCCAGTATCTGTGCCCTTGTGGCGCTGCACGTCTCCTGGGGAAAGCCGCATTAACTGTGGCATTTCCTCCCACCCCCACCCAGCACCTTGGGTTTCCAACCAGAGCTGGAATAAAAATAAACCAAATAAATTCATGTCCCTGCAGGAGCCAGGCAAGGGCAGGGAAAGGCAAGGCAAGGCAACACAGAGGTAGGCATGGAGGGAGACAAGTGACAAGCTGAGCCTTTGGGTAACCGGTCTAAATATCTTTCCCCCAACTATCCCACCTCAAACGCATGAAAAAAAAACTGTCAGGGTGCAGAGCATCCCTCAGAAAAGCCAGCAGGATGGGGAGAGCTGCAAAGTGCTGGTGACAGTGCCATGGGGTCCCCTGGGGTGATGCCTCCCTGCAGAGAAGGAGAGCAGCAGGCTGGCAGTGCTTCACCCAGCACCTTGCCCAGGGGGAATGGGTGCAAGCCCATCTTGCACCGTTAACGCCTGGTGCCTGCCGAGGCATCTGCTCTTTGCTCTCCAAAGGTAGTTTGGAAAAAGTCAGAGAATCAGTTTATGGAGCTTCTTGGAAAAATGGTCTTTGCCAGTGACTTTGAGAGACTTCTGAGCAGGTTTTGTCTGTGCTGGCATTTCATCTTGGGGCTTCTCTTCCCATGCGGAGGGAGTGGCAGGAGGGCTGGTGGTCTGCGTCCCTGGGTGCAGCTTTCCCACTCTCCGGCTGGCTGTGGAGAGCAGCTGCACCGCCAGTGAAAAAGCATTTGGCTGAACATCCCATCCGCCTGGTTTGCAAGTGAAAATAAGGCTTGTCGGATGGCCAGCTCCACCCAGAGCAGAAAATCAGACCTTTTGGCAGATCGTTGCTACTGTAATGAAATTTAGCTGTGCTGAGACTGCCAGTCCTCAAATGGGAAAAGTCCCACATGGGTTCAGAGAAATTTGGGGATGGATCTGTCAAAACTGCTGCCTAGGGTTTTCAGCACTGCCTGGGGACAGCCACTGCAGACGAGCATGGCCCCTTGGCTCAGCTCACCCTCAGCGCTAATTGCACATCATCTTCTCCCCGCAGCGAGTCCCCCCAGCCCCGGAGCTGTGTGGTCTCACAGAGCCATGATGAAGCTTCTGCCCGTTGCCCCCATCCTCCTGCTTCTCCTGACAACGCTGGAAGCCAGACCAAAACCTGCAGGTGAGCCCCGGCCGGTGGGGATTGCCTGGAGGAGAGAGAAGCAAGTGTGTCAGGGCAGTGAAGCCCTCAGAGGACGGCTTGCTGCTTGAGGTGGGGGGGACCTGATGCCTCTTCTTTGGAGACATCCCCAGGAGGATGGAGGATCCTCCTGGGTGCGGCACCCGAACTTCCCAGCGCTGCCCAGGGGAGCGGGAGCCTGAGCCTGGCCCCAGTACGGTGGGTCTGGTGCCACTCACTCCAGGCATGTCCTCAGCTTTGACACAGCCCAGCTCAGGGCTTATCACCCTCCTGCCCATGGGCTCCAACCTCGGCAGGAGGCACAGGCGTGAGGGGGAACCCCGTCCCTGCGTGGGTCTCCTGATAGCGGGGGAAAAAGCAAATCCAGAGGTACCAGCCTCTCTCCTCCAAGGGCAAAGGGGGCTGAATCAATTCCAGTTTAAAAACAGTGAAGGCACCGAATGGAGAAAGGAATGGGTATGTCTCAGAGACCTTCGGAGCAGTTGAGATGACAGCCCAGGTCTGGGCATCATCCCAAGGGGACTCAAAAGTGTTTGCTTACCATTAGGGCCAAATTCTCCCAGGCTTGGGTATGCACAAGCCAAGCAAAATATGTTCATTGGCATTTTACTTGCTAAACACTCCCAGTTTGCACTGGAAGCAGCACCCATATGTCCAAGAGAGGCTCTTTGGCTCGATCCCCGCCATGTGTGTGCCCTGAGCTGTGCTTTTCACTGTCTCATTTTTTTGCCCTTAAAAAAGCCAACAACAAAGCAAGCCCTCATTTTTGGCAGAAACTGTCAAAATGCAGTAAAAACCGGGGGAAGCTGGAGCTGTGGGGGCAACAGAAGAATTGCCCAAAGCAGTATTTTCATGCTTCGCGCCACAGCAGTGGGAGCCCATGCAGAGCAGAGGTCTGGAGCAGGAGCTGCAGCTTGCGGAGGACAGCATGAGGCACTGGGCTATTTTACACTTTAATGCTCTGATTTGCTGCAGAGATGAAGATGCCACTGCCTAAACCTGTGCCTAAACCTTGCCAGGGCAGATGCTGACAGACAGACAGGTGTTTCTGCAGCCCCTGGGGCCATCGGGTGTGGAAATGCAGGGAGCAGGAGCTGGGTCTGGCTGCAGGGACAGTGTCAGGGAGGAGGGGACACTGCCACAGCCCCACGGCCAGGGCATGTCTCCACAGCCTGTCGCCCCTGCTCCCGTTCTGCCGGCACCCTTCTTGGGTTTATTTGGCAGTGGGAAGGTGCTGCTCTGTGGGGGCTGCCCAGACCTGCCCTCTCTATCCCCCACTGAGCACACCTCAAGCCACACAACAAGGATGTCTCCGCTCCCAGCCCTGCTTCCCACAGGCATCCATGAGGCTGAACCATCTCTTTGCCCCCTTCCAGCCCTGAAGTGCAGGACGGGTCCCTTGGACATCGTGTTTGTGATCGACAGCTCCCGCAGCGTGCGCCCCTTCGAGTTCGAGACCATGCGGCGGTTCATGATGGACATCATCGGCAGCCTGGACGTGGGCCCCAACGCCACGCGGGTGGGGGTGATCCAGTACTCCAGCCAGGTGCAGAATATCTTCTCCCTCAAGACCTTCTTCACACGGGCAGACATGGAGAAGGCCATCAACAGCATCGTGCCGCTGGCCCAGGGCACCATGACGGGGCTGGCCATCCAGTACGTCATGAATGTGGCCTTCACCACGCAGGAGGGCGCACGCCCTCTGCACAAGAGGATCCCCCGCATTGCCATCATCGTGACGGACGGACGGCCCCAGGACCGTGTCACCGAGGTGGCCACCCAGGCCCGGAATGCTGGCATCGAGATCTACGCCGTGGGCATCCAGCGGGCAGACATGAACTCACTGCGGGCCATGGCCTCACCACCGCTGGAGGAGCACGTCTTCCTGGTGGAGTCCTTCGAGCTCATCGAGCAGTTTGGGAAGCAGTTCCAGGACAAGCTCTGCGGTGGGTGAGAGCCGTGGCTGTGGGGGGGCAAGGGTTGCCCTGGTGCCTGCTCATCCAGGCTAGAAGATGACCTTCAGAGGGGTGTTTGGGGTGGCTGCCCTTGCTAGGAGCAGCGTGGACAGGGAAGCAACCTCCCCAGTGGGGTGCTGGGATAGGTGGCCTTTCCTCTTGCTCACCTTTCCTCTTGCTCACCTTTCCTCTGCTGGAGTGAGATAAGGAAAGCTTTGAAAGCATTGCAAGCAAGCACTTTTCTTCACCTGTGTCCGGTAGCTCTGCCCCAAGTGAGGATGTGGTAGCAGCAGTGATGGGAATATTAAAGAGCGGGAAATGTGGAGCTGGTTTCCCTGGGTGTAATGAGGATGGGTGACATATCCCGGAGCCCCATATACATTTCGGCGTGGCTCTAGCAGGGTCTCCTCCTACACAGACACGTGCATGGCATCTGATGCACGCACATTTGTGTTTAATAAAACGCTGGCCGCATGGTGCTGCTCTGGAGCGTCCAGCCAGTCTCGGCTGGGAGCCGGGAGGCTGGTTTGCACCATGACCGTGCTGGCGCGGGTCAGGAGCTTGCAGACTGGGACCTGTCTGTCCCCTCCTGTGCTGGCGGGCTTTGCTGGAGACCCGGCACTGCAGTGGGCTGGCAAGACTTTGCTCCTGTGCTTCAGCATCTGTTGAAGGGCAGAACGCAGCTGCCAGCCTCTTTCAGGCAGCGTTTCCCAGCCAGGGGGACGTGCGTGCCTGCAGGGCTGCGTTAGTGCCATGGTGAGTCCCTGCTTGCTGGGGTGGGGGGTCCGGGCTGACCAGATATTGCCCGCTGGGGCCCTGATGTGCTCCTGTGCTTGATGCCTTTGCTTACAATGCCCTGCCCGTTGCCTGCCTGTCCTGCTGCCTGCTTCCCAGACAGCTCCACAGGCTCCTGGTGGCATGGACGCGCAGACCTGGCTCCTTCAGCACGTTCCAGCTGAGCTCAAGCTTTTGCTCATTCAGCTCAAGCTCTCAACAGTATCAATTAATATTGAGCATTGAGTTAGCACTCGAGTAGATCAGAAAGCTGAGGCAGTTCAGAAACGTGCCCTGCACAGTGTCTGTGTCTGTGCACTGGAAATTAGTGGGTGAGTGCTGGGGCTGTGTGGGTTGCCCTGGTGGCTTTCGCTGCAGGGACAAGGCATGTGCCGGAGCTGGGGTCCCTGTGCATCTGGCATGCCCGTGTGCCGCTCTGATGCTCGTTCTGTCTTGCAGGGGTGAACACGTGCATGGAGCAGGAGCATGGCTGCCAGCACAGCTGCATCAGCACCCCCAGCTCCTTCTACTGTGAATGCAACCCCGGCTACAGGCTCAACGTGGATGGAAAGACCTGTTCCCGTAAAAACCCTTTCTTTTATCCTAACTCTTGCAGAGGGCTTGTAGTTACACGTCTCATGGAGGGAAGCTGAAATGCAGCAGAGGACCCAGCGAGGCCAGCAGCAGCCTAGGTGCTCTGTTCACTGAGCCCACTGCCTGCCGGGTCTGTAATGACTGCGGACATTCAGCATTGCTAAATCCTGGTCACCTCTCTGGGATGGGACACTTGGGGCTCATGTGGGCACAATCAGCTGCCTGTCACCTGAGGGGGCTCCGGGCAGTGGGTACCAGAGCATGCACATCCCAGCCACCAAAGTGCAGGGTGGTTTGGCCCTGTATGTTGGGTGCAAAGCTGTATTAGTTGGTCTGGCCACCACCCTGGGACTTTTCCTTCTTGTCTCCTGGTGCTGGGAGCTGCTTTGAAGCCCTGGAGGAGGCCCTGCTCAGCTGCTCCGGGGAGGCTGGGACAGGAGGATGACACGTGTCCTGTTCCCCCGCAGCCGTCAATGCCTGTGAAGACGGGAGGCACGGCTGTCAGCACCAGTGCGTCAGCACTCGTGGGTCGTACTTGTGCCACTGCCACGCGGGTTACTACCTCAACCAGGACAAGAGGAGCTGCTCTAGTAAGTGGCTGTCTCCCTTCCTGTCCCTTCTTCGTTTGCTTCTCGCTCTTTCTCTTCTTCTCTTGTCTTCCCCTTTCTGCCCACCCTTCTCCTTCTCTCACCAGTGATCGATTACTGCAGCTTCGGCAACCACAGCTGCCAGCACGAGTGCGTGAGCATCCCCAACGGGCACTACTGCCGCTGCCGCAGTGGGTTCACGCTGCAGCCTGACAGCAAGTCCTGCAGAGGTACGTGGCGGCACGGCACAGGCTGCGGTGTGTGGCAGATACCTTTATGTCCTGCCCAGTCGCTGGGGGAAGGGCTGTTCCCGGACCACCCTGCCTGGCCGGTGATAACCCTGTGCCCTTGGCTTGTCTTCCAGCCACCGACCTCTGCAATGGGGTGGATCACGGCTGTGAGTTCAAGTGCGTGAGCATGGAGGGTTCCTACCGCTGCGTGTGCCCCGAGGGCCAGCAGCTCCAGGCTGACGGCAAGGCGTGCAGCAGTGAGTACCGGGACGCAGCTCTTGGCATCTTCCTCATCTGGGCTCCGTGCTCCTGGCGAGGGCTTACCTGAAACTAGGCTGGGGGTCTAAGTGGGACTTTGTCTGAGCTGGGTTGGAAGGAGGATGGAGAGCTGGCTGGGCTTGGGGGAGCACCCCGGCTGTTGCAGGGATGGATTGTGGGCTCATGTCCTCAGAGACATGGTCCAGAAGATGCAGCAGGAGCTTTGAGAAAAGGTTCAGGAAAAGGGAGACCTAGGAAAGACTTTCAGGGAACGCTGGGGTGGCAGTGGAGGATTATGGTCTGAGACTGCTGGGCACGCTTTGCCCTGCTTCCCGGCCTCACCTCGGCTGCAGGTCCAGGGGGTTCACACAGCATCCTGAAGCCCAGCAGCTCTGCCCCAGCCCTGGGCATCCTCACCCCGACAGTGCCCCTGGCCAAGCTGGTCCCTTCTCACCTTCCCCCTGTGCCCACAGAGTGCGGGGCTGGGCACATTGACCTGGTGATGGTGATCGATGGCTCCAAGAGTGTCCGGCCCCAAAACTTTGAGCTGGTGAAGCAGTTTGTGAACCGCATCGTGGACCTGCTGGAGGTGTCACCCCATGGCACGCGGGTGGGGCTGGTGCAGTACTCCAGCCGCGTCCGCACCGAGTTCCCCCTCAACAAGTACCACAGCGCGGATGAGATCAAGAAGGCGGTGATGGAGGTGGAGTACATGGAGAAAGGCACCATGACAGGTCTTGCCCTCAAGCACATGGTGGAGCACAGCTTCTCTGAGCTGGAAGGTGCCAGGCCTCTCTCCCACAACGTGCCCAGAATCGGGCTCGTCTTCACAGATGGGCGCTCCCAGGATGACATCTCCGAATGGGCCAGGAGAGCAAAGGAGTCAGGTGCGGGGGAGCTGGGGAACCCCAAATTGCAGTGCTTTGGGCATCCTAGGATGGTTCCTCGGGATGGTTGGCTCTGGGGGAGGCTGCAGCATCCAGCCTTGGGGTGCTGCATCGCCCGGGTCCGCAGGGGGAGAAGTGCCTCTGCTGTGGTCGCAGGGTGCTGTGAGCAGCATCCTTCATGCAGCAGCCTGCACCATGGCGGTGGTGCCGCACCCAAATTCCTGCTGTGTTTTTGGGAAGCCCCAGGGAAATCCTGCATTCTTGACTGCCCAGGGGAAATTCTGCAGCCTTGGCTTTACTCCCTCTGGGCTTGGGGCTGCTTGGTGTGGGGTGGCTGGCACAGTGCTCAGGGTCCATCCTTGCTATGCAGGGATTGTCATGTTCGCTGTGGGCGTTGGCAAGGCTGTGGAAGAGGAGCTGAGAGCAATTGCCTCTGAGCCGGTGGAGCAGCACTTCTCCTACTCGGCGGACTTCACCACCATGACCCACCTCGTGGAGAACTTCAAGCTGAACATCTGCCCAGGTGGGTGCCCTCAGCCCTGACCAAGCCAGGGGCTCAGCCCTGAGCTGGAGGGAGCCCTTCTTTCCTTGCTGGGGTGGTTTGTGTGTCTGTCACCTTTTGTCTCGTGCCCCAGGGCCGATCTGGGCTAGTGTGAGCCTAGGGTATCTCTGGATCTCATCAGGCTGTTGTGGGTATAGAGGTGGGTCTCAGGGAGGTATTTGGAAGAGGAAGAGGTGCAGCTGGGGGTTTTAATGTAAAAGGGATGGCTTATGAGCATCCACTCCAGTGCCATTGCGTGGGCAGAGTCTGGGGTCTCACCCTGCCTTGAGGGATGCTGCCCTAGCTCCAAGGGTGGTCCGTCTCCTCAGCCAGACCTGCACTTCTCTTGGTGCCAGGTGGAGGAGGACCGTGCTGAGTTACTGTGGGGTTCTCCCTGCCCTGGGGCAGGCTGGGGCTCCCCAGTGCTCTTGTGGCCCCCGGGGGCTCCTGTGGGGCTGCAGACGTTGGGTCAGCAGCCCCCCATGGCCACCCTGGCTTGATGAAGCTCAGCACTAGCTCTCCTCAGCATGCTGTGATCACTTGCACGGCAGCTTTACGGTATGCCTGGTGGGATGCCTGGCAGCAAGGTCACTGGGCTCGCAGGGATGCAGCCTGGTGAAAAGGAGCGAGGCTGGAAAAAGAGAAAACAGGAGAGCCCCAAGGCTCAGGTCCAGTCCGGGAGGTGGCTGTAAGGACAAGGGACTCATGCTGTGTGGGAGCAGGGGGGAGCCAAGCACCGTGGGGCCATGGCTCTGACTGTCCCCAAACCCCTGCGGTCACAGAGGAGGGCAAAGGGGAGACAGAGATCCGCAGCCCGTGTGAATGTGAGGCGCTGGTGCAGTTCCAGACAAACACCGTGGCCATCCTGCAGAGCCTGACTGAGAAAAATATCCTTTGGGGTGATGCCTGGGCTTGCCGGGGTGCAGGGCAGCCTGGGGACAGACTGCACACAGGGAAGGGAGGGATGGATACATGAGACTGGGGAAAATTTTAGGCTCCTTCAAAGGGAAAAAGCCCTTTGCCCACCAGACCATCCAGCTCACGCTCTTTCCTTAGCATGTTCACTTGCTCAGATGACGGCCAGACTTGAAGACTTGGAAAAGCAGATTGCCAACAAGAAGTGATCCTTGCAGAGGGCTGCAGCGCTCACACAGGGCACGGGGACATACAGTAGCTATGTGGCATTGTTATTGCTAGGTTATTGTAAAGCATCAGTGTTTGTTCTTGTATCACAAAATCCCCAGGGGGATGTGGAGTGTATTTAAAAAAAACAAAAATCCTTAAAAAAAAACCAAAAACAAACTTCAGCAAAAACCCCTGCTGTGAAGCCAAGGGGTTCAGCCGTTGCTGTTGCCTCGTTCCTCCGAACCAGCAAGTCTGGGATGAGGTGGGATGACTGTGTGGGCAGGCTGGGCTTTGGATGAGGAGATACGACACCCAGCCTTTTCCCAGAGCAACTGGGATGAACCAGCCCCTGCGCAGCCCCCCCAGCAAGCTGCTTTGCAAGAGAAAAAAAAAAAAAACACTACAGTAATCGCACACTGAGAGCTTCTGGCATCTCAGCGGCTGCTGCCAAGTGGTGGGGCAGGGAGAGCCGGGCGCCGCGGGCAGCGCATGGGGATGTGGGCCCCCCGGCTCTCCCATCTGGCTCCCGGCACGGTGCCTGGGTGTGCACCCATGGGAAAGTGGGTGGCAGGAATTGGGAGATCCCCTTGCCCCCGTTCTGGGAGAATTGTTTGGGAATTGGTCATTATCTTGTTTTCTTATCACATAGCAAAATGGTAATAATTCTTTCTATAAATATCTATGTGTGTGTGTATATTTCATTTTGAGAGCAGGGTAGTGCTATTTTTAAACACTTCTTTTATATAAAGAAATTTCTATCCTGACAATAAACACCCTGAAGATTTGTATGACATGTCCTTCTCCTTTCAGCTGGGCTGCAGAGCCATCTCTGCATCAGAATGGGGGCCTCTGGCTTTTTCAAAGGCTCCCTGTCCTCAGGCTCTAAAAATCCTTTGGGAAAATCTTTCCTCTATGAGCACCCCAGGATGCTGCAGACTCGGCCTCAGCTGGAGGGAGCCAGCACAGCACGGACACCGTGTCACCGTTCCCAATGTTTGCTTTGGAGCCTGTGCTTGTCAGAGCACAGGGAGCTCATGGTCTACTTTAGGGGGTGTAAACGTGCCAAGTCAGTGGTGCAGGGCTGCTTACACCCATGGGGGATGCGGCCCTGGTGCTGGGATGTGTCTGCTCTGAGCAGGAGAGGCACCAAGCTCCCTGGCTGGCTGCACAGGGAGGGATGCCAAGGCAGCCAGGGACCCATCTCCCAGAGGTGCATGGCTTTTTAATCACAGAAGCCCACCTTGGTGTAGCCTCCATGCCCCACAGCCAGGGGGAAGGAGGTCTCCACTTAGTCCTGTCCATTGCATGCTGGCAGAGGCTGCTGGATAGGGACAACAAGTTTTTGGAGGGGTCCTTCACATACCCATCTTGCTTGCTGGTCCTGTACCCAGGAGGTTAGAGCAAAGCAGGAATGAGAGGAAATGTTACTTCTGAACTAGCAATTCATGCAGGAGGGATTTGTGTGCCCAGAGGGCCTCGTGGGGCTGTGCAGGGTGCTGTGCAGCCTGGGCTGTTGGGGGAGGAGGAGGAGGAGGGTTACAGCCCTGGGCTCACACCACTTCAGCACAGCTCCTTCTCCCTGGGGACACTGTTAGTGGCTCCAGCACCCACCTTGGCCAATTTGCTTTGCAGAGCCTGGGTGTTTCCACTGCCATGAATATTCCTGGTGGGTTTATAGGGCACTTTAGGGGGTGGCTGGAGGACACATCCTGCTGGTCCTGCTTCCAGGAGTGGTTTGCTCCATGGGACTCACGTCCTAGGGGGCTGGAGCTGGGATGCGGCAAGGTTTTGTGTGCTTGAGGCTGGGATTTGGAGCCAAAGAGCAGGAGGATGAAAGCAGGTCCTGGGCTGGGGTGTGGGGCTTGCTGGGACTGCTCTGGGGAGAGGAGCTGGGAAGTGCTCTGATACTTGCTTTACAAGGTGAGGAGTAGCTTTTGTCACATGCAATCAAAAGCACTGGTTCCCTAGTTCAGCATGGGGGTTTGATGGCTTGTGAGCAGGGCTCTTGTCCCAGTTGGCATGGACTGGGGCATTTGTAGCCTCATTGTATCTGTTTGCTGGGCTAGCAAACGAAGCACTGCTGATTAGCTCTGCACAAGATCCCAGCTGGCAACCCCATGGCTCCTCCTGGCAGCCCCATATCCCCCCATCAGCCCCATATCCTATCCATGCATCCCCCCGTCCCTTTCACCTACCCTGCAGCCCAGCAGACAGCCGGGGGGGGGGGGAGGTTGGGAAGGGACTGATGATCACAAACCACTTCCAAGCCAAATCCTGTTGCTACAGAGCACAGTGACCAGAAAGCCACAGCAGTGTTCAGCAACTCCGAAACTGGGGACTGGGACTTCCCTGCTTTGTATGCAGCTCTCTTAGAAAATGCACAGTAACTGCAGGGAAAAAAAAAAAAAAAAAAAAAAAAAAAGCTGGGGGGGGGGGGGCAATTAGCTGAGTTTGGGATTTAATAACAGGCTTGATTAGAGCAGATAACAGCACACCCTGAGGGCATGATTAAGCCCCAGTTGGCCCAATGTAATTTTGGCAAATATTAAGGGAAGCCGTAGACAAAGTGGAGCTGGACAGGCAGTGAGACAGAGAGGCTCGACGAGGGCTGGCAGCACAGCATGGCCCTGGGGATGGCAAAACATCGGTGGGGAGGTGTGGGGGGTGGGAGGCACAGGGAAGAGCAGCAGAAGCTGGGCATCAGCTGAGGTGGGATTTTTGGGAAAGCATCCCCAGGACAGGCTGTGGGATCGCATCTGGGAGCCGGGCCGTGTGTGCGTGGTCCTGCAAAGCCTCATTAATGGCTTTTCACTAGATGGCACCAGACACCAGCGCTAATGAGGGTGCGCTGGGCTGGGGGGCACCCCCTTCTCCCGGGCACCCCGGGGCGGTGGACCAAGCCCGGGAGCAAGTGGAGCATCCTCAGCCGTGAGCTGGGGATGGATGGATAGAGCCTGACGTCAGGCTGAAAGCATTGCATCACCTGGTAGGGGACAAGGGCTGCTTGGTGGGGCACAAGGCATCCCTCAGGTGCTTTGTGCACCCTGCTAAGGCTGGGGCTTGGCCATGGTCAAGCCCCAAGCTGGGGGACCAGGGGCTGCTGGCCTCCCTCCTTGCCATCCCCAGGAAATATAAACTGGAGAGCCCTGCTAAGGCTGGGAAATTGCAGCATCAGCATCCTCAGCATTGCACAGCTCAGGCCTTGCTGCCTCGGGAGGAGGCTCATGAAGTGCTTTTCATGGAGGACAGCATGAGCAGTGTGGGATGGGGATGGCTCTGCAGGACCCTGGGGCAATGGGTGCTACACACGTAGCAGAGTACAACATGGGGACTGCAGGCAGTCCTGTGCACAGAAATGCCATGGTCCAGGTTATTCCATGGGAGTTTGCAACAGAAGCAGATTTTCAACTTTTCCCCTATGGACTCACCGTGGATAAAGCACTATCAAAAGTCCTTCAGATGGATTTCTTCCCCCCCCAGCTTCTCTGCAGCTGAATCCAAGCCTTGCTCCTTGTCTTTTCTCCTTTCTTAGAGGTGCAGCCCCAAGCACCACCTCGGCCAGATCCTGGCACCAGCTGGAAGCACAGCACTGCCCTCTCCAGCCCTGGCATCAGCTGAACACCAAAGGATTGCTTAAAAATTAATCCAATGCTTGCATTTCTCATTAAAAGTGCTAAATTGTTGGTGCACAGCCCAGAAAGTCTATTTGGGTTGGCTAAATACTCTCCCAGTTATTTAATAAATTACTTTACAAAGAGCTAAATACAGCCACAGGATCATTAGGGAAACTGGACAATAATTAACAGATACCCAGTAAGTTAAGGTCCAGTTAACATGGCACATTGAGACATGAGAAGGGAAGTCTGAGCAGAAAAGGGCATAGTGAGTTGCCCACCATGCCCTGGAGGGAAAGCAGGGGCTCCACAGGCTAGGGCAGGGCAATGGCAGGGGACTCGGGGGCTGCGTGGAGCACATAGGGGCAATGCCTGGGCTTTTGCTGCTCCTTGCCCTGCCCAGTTGCAAATCAGGGGCTGCCCCAGCATGCCTTTTGCGGGAACACAGGGAGTATGGCTGCAGCATGCCTTCCCCTTCCAGGGCCTTCCCAGCGCCCGTTTCCAGCACAGCTCGGGTTCCTGCCAGCCCCAGAAATCCCAGGGAAGGGCTCCAGGAACCTGTTACACAAGGCAAGGGGGACATTGACCCATTGGTCGGAAATGGAGTAATTTCCCATTACCCAAGAGCACCTAAAGAAAACAGCTTTGCCCAGAGCAGGGGTACAATCTCCTTGTGAGGGAGAAGATGGAGGCCTGAAGGCTGGTGAGGTTTTTGCCCTCTGAGCGAGGACCACAGCCCTTTATCCCTACAGCCATCCAGAGTTAGGGCTCATTCACACCACGGATGTTTGGCTGATGACAGGGCTGTATGGAGCTAGTGCTCCTACCCTGGTGAGCCAGCCACTTCCTTCCAGCACCAACCTGCTTCCCACACAGCAGCAGCCACCCGGAGAAGATGCTGGGATTCAGGTGCCCCCCACAAAGCTTGGGAAAGACTCACTCTTGGCCAAGCCAAAGCTGCTTTCCCCGCACTAGTTTATGCCACCAGTGGGGCAGGAGCCAGGAGAGGCTGGGGCAGGATTCCTCTGGGAAAACCTCAAAGGATCATCCCTGGGAAGGCACAGGCAGCCCCATGCTGATTTGGATCACGCTGTAAGGTTTGGTTTAGCAGGTCCATGTGGAAACAAGGTAGAAGGGAAACCCACATAATGGACCCACAGAAGGGAACATAGCATGGTCACCACAATGGTTTCTCCTGGACAAGCATACCTTCCCAGCAGAAAGCAGCTCCAGCAGCCTGCTTGGGGGATGATGCCCTAGACCATCTCCCCTTGGCTTGTCCCTCAGCCCCAGGTGTAGCTGCAGGGGACAGTTGTGCAATGGAACAGCTACTTTTTGAGCAATTGAATAATCCCGTTTGTATCTTGTGCAAAAGGCTTCCAGGAAACACAATGCAATGGCAGAGGAAAAAGGGACAAACACCAGCACGTGCCCAGCCCAGCTCCCCACCCCCATCCTCCCCAAGGGTTTAAATGTCAGCATGCCCCAGCTCTCCACGCTCGCACCTCTCAGAGACACAGCAGCATGAAGTCGGTGGCTGCTCTCTTCCTGGTGGGGATGCTCATCCTCTGGACAGAGCTGCCAACAGGTATGAGATGTCCTAGGATAAGGTACAGGGAGGAAAAGCACAGGGGCTGGGAAGGAGCTGTGTTTGCATGCATCCTGTGGGATGGGAGGGGAGAGGAGGGGGGCTTTTGCCAGGGAGCATCTCCCCAGGGCCTCTCAGCTACCAGCAGCGTGGAGTAAACAACTCCCTCCTCTTGCAGGCAGTGCCTGGTCCTGCCCACCCGTCCACATCACCTGCGCGATGGTCAACCCACCGAACCACTGCTACACTGACCGGCACTGTCCACGGTACAAGAAGTGCTGCCCAACCTTCTGCGGAAGGAAATGCATCTCGGGGCTACCTTCCCTCACCTACGGTAGGGTCTCGGGAGCCCCCTCTCCTGTGCCCACCTCCCCGGGTAGCAGAGGGGGGATACAGTGACAGTGGCTCTGGGCAGGGAGCTGTGTCCAGCTGCCAGAGCCTTCCACTGTCAGGCTGGCGCAGCCATTGATGGCCAAACGTGTGGGCTGGAGTTACTCTGAGCACCGGACCTAACCTGCTGCTTTCTCTCCCTTTCCCCAGCATGAGCTCCTGCTCCCAGGACAGACCGAGGGCTTTCTCAGCATCCCCATGCCACCCAGGCACCAGCCAGCTGCCCACACCTCTGCTAAGGCTTGTCCTGCCCAATGCCAGCTCCCAGATAGATGGGGACAGCCACCAGCCTGCGCTCAGAGACCACCTTGGCTGCAGCACCACTTCGCTGACAGCTGCCACACGGTGCTACGTGCCACCTGCTCACCCTCTCCCTCTGCTTCCCCACTGCTGTTTTAACAAATAAAAGAGCTTGTCCCAGGAACGTTCACGGTGTGCAACTCCTTTTCCCACCTCCTCCTGCCTCTCTCCAGGCCCATCCTGGTACATGCTTCTACTGCTTTCACCCCTGATTTTCTGTCTGGGGAAGATGAAAACAGTCCAGCTGTGCACCCAGAGTGAGGTGAGGGGCTGACTTGGGGGAGCAAATCCATCCAGAGGCATACAAACCCTGGGAGGAGAAGGTGATGGGAAGGGGCTGGAATGAAACATGATGAGACGCTTTGGGGGACTCTCCTGGCAGGGTGCAAGGGGCCCTGCAGAGCAGCCTGTGCCCCCAGGAACACCCCAAGCTGGACAGAATTGTGGAAGGGGACTGACCCTGCCTGCCCAGGGGGATGCAGGAGGCAAAGCCTCTCTGTGGGTACCTCACTTGGGGGGCACATCTGGAGGGCAAGTATTTAGACCCAAACCCCAAGTGGTGCTGAGCCCCTCACTGAACCTGAGCTGGCGGGCAAAATTCAGCTGAAGAAAATTGCCTGGGAAAGCCTCAAGCCGGGGCACAAAACCACAGCTCTAGGGGGTTCTTGTAACTTTTGTACAACTGAGTGCCAGGGCCAAAAAATCAGGAAATGCTGAGAAACAGAAGGAAAGAGCATGTGCAGCCCGAGGGACCTGCCCGGCATCTGCCCAGTGCAATGGCAGAGCCAGGTATTGCCCCCATGTGCTACAGGGGCAGAGCATCACCCAGCCTGCACTGATGCCCAGCAAACAGTGCCTGCCAGCCCCTCCCCAGCCCCATAGCTGATGCCAGGCTTGCATGTCTCATCATCATATTCTTAACAAGCAGACCCAGCCCAGATTGGGAGAGGAACCTGGTCTGTCTACATATGCTAGAGCGAACAGAAAGGAAAATGAATGAGTGCTGGACAACAGAGGGAAAGGAACACTGGGTGGCTGGCTAGGAGGAGGCACTTCACCTCCATCTCCTTCAACCTGCAGGCAGACCCCACAAACAGCCCAGCTCCCAGCCCCTCACACCTCCCTGCCCGGGAGGAGCATCCTGCAGGCACTGCCTGAAAGGTGCCTGGTGCAGGAGTTGCTGCCGTGTAAGGGCTGAGCTAGTGAATGCCACTGCCAGGCACGAGCAAGGCAATCTGGAGAGCAGCATGATCTGGCCAGGTATCTAAGCCACCCACAAATACAGCAGGATGAAACCTCTGGCTGTGGAATCAACATCTCGCATGGCCCAAGGCAGACACTGGAAGCTCCCTGGCCAAGGCTGGGGAAAGAATCTGCTGGAGCAAGTCCTTCCACAGTCACCCCCATGGAGGAACTGGAGTGAGGGAGGCAAAGAAGTTATTCAGTGACTGAGAAAGAAGTCCTGTGGTGAAAGACCACCTCTCTGCTTAGCTCAGCCAAGGGAGGGCGGAAAGAACTAGAGAGCTCATGCAGTACCAGGGAAGGCTGGAAATGCCAGGTGATCTTGCAGGGACAGGCAGAACAAGGGCTGGGAGCTCATCCGCTAAATTCAATGTGAAATCAGACATTGCTCTGACCAGTGCAGTGTCCTACTGGGGGAAAAATATTTCTGCCATCCTTACACCAACCCACCCCCCTGAGCAGGGAAGCACTATGCCACACAAGCCATGGAGTCACAGGGGCAGAGCCCCAACACTCCCCTGACCATCCCCGCACCGAGGCAGCCCAGGCTGGTGCAGTGGCCAAGGGCAGAGAAGCCTGATTACACCTCCTGCCAGTCATTAGTCACAGATCACAGCCCTCCTTCCTCCATCAGGACCAGCTATTATCAGCTATTAAGCAAGCATTTCCATACAGCTGGCTAATTTGATAATGCCACAATTATCTTGGTTTGTTAACAAGATTAAATTGCTAATTGGTTTGATTAAGCACAGAGCTCCAGACATGGGGTGCCTCTTGCCTGGCAGCACTCAAGGTCCCACACAGCCCAACAGCTGCTGCGCCCAGTGCAGCAGGTCCTCTGCAGAGACAAGGGCAAAGCAGCAGCACAGGAAGGGTTCACCCTCCCCAAAACTGCTCCCTGGGGCCTCCAGATCTCTATGTGCTGGTCTGGAGAGGTCCCTCCTCCTGCCCTGAGACAGAGCGAGCTTTGCCCACGTCACTGCTGTCACCCAGCTGCTGGCCCGGGCAGGCAGGAGATGGCTTTGGGGCCAGAGGATGCTATGGGGACATCTGGCCTGCCTTGGTCCTACTGCTTTCTGTTTGGGAGCACTGCAAGTTAGAAATCCCTGAGGCAATTCACCAACTATGTACATCCATCCACCTGCATCAACAAATCCTCTGCCCTCCTCTCCCCAGGCACAGGTCCCTACCACCATGCACAGCATTTCCAGCAACACCCAGCTTGCCAGCACAGCTGTACTGGGGAGCTCCCATCACTGCAGATTAGACTCACCTGTACCCCCCCATGCAGTCAGCACCTGCCTGGGAGGAGCTGGGCAACACACCAAAACATGCACAGGGTAGGATCACTGACTGTGGTAAGCTCCTGGCAGCAGGCTTTGACTGTAAATCCTTTAGATCCAGGTCTCTGGGGAGGAAGGGAATTCCCCTCTGTGTCTTAGGTACATGCCAGCAAGACAGCAGGAAAAGCAGCAAGTCCTGTGCCAGAGAGGAGATGTTTCTATGCTGGTTCTTCCCACATCGTCTGCTTCCTGAGGTCTACAGCAGCCTGGAGATGAAGGGGTTCGTTTTCTCCGCCTGGGGACTTACCACAGCTCAGGACTTGCTGCTGTGGGACTTTCTCCTGGGACAAGCCCACCAGGTCTGGTGCTGGGAACATGGGAAAGGCTGCACTCAAGGACCCAGCTTTGGATTGGAAACATCCATCATGGCATGTCACAGCAGCAGCAGCACCATTGTGTGGCAGGGAGCCGTTCAGCTCCTTTTGCATACAGCAGGTCTGGCTTACTCCATCTTCCCTCAAAACAGGGGTTTTGGGGCCAGCTGCTCTTTGATCAATCCCAAAGGAAATATCCAAGACTCCCTGACATCCCAGAGGATGGCATCTAGAGTGGCTACCCAGGGAGCCATCAGCATCACCGAGGCAGCCTTGCTCCACAGAGAAATGCACTTTGGGCCACTCAGAGACAGGGCAGAGCATGGGGAAGTAAGGTCTCACCTGCAGCACACCCCTTGCACACTTGAACATATTTTTAACATTTTCATGGAGTCTTCTCCCTGCACATTTTATGCTTTGGCTCAGGAAACTGGGTGATCGGGGTCTGAATACAGAACAGTTTGGTGCTCAAGAGTGATGTGAGACCTTTTCAAGAGATGATTCAAACCAGTTTAATAAGAATTACTACAGCTTTGAAAAACCTTTGAAAAGGGAGGGTTATTTAGCTGGCCTGGCCCAGGAGTGGAAAGCTGTAGTCCCAGCAGGATGCAGCAATCGCATCAAATCCAGAGGATAAAGTACCCTGGGCTGAGCAGATCCACCCGGCAGTGGCTCTGCCCACGGTCAGGTGCTATACACAGCCCTCTTCTCTGCAGAGAAGCAGCAATATTTCAGGTGGGAAAAGGAGTCAATACTGTTCTGGTTCCCACCATAAAAGAAATATATATACACACACCTCTGCAGAAAAATAAACCATCCTCACACTGCTGAAGGTCAACAGATGTACGAGTTCACTTTGTGCTTTCTTCTGTGGGATGATTTATAGAAACTCAGCTCCTCACCTGGACCGAGTCACCCTCCAGCCACAGGGAGAGGGTGGTCAGGGCCAGAGCTGTCTCACACCAGCTGATGCCCTCCAGCATTTTCTTTCTGAAGACACAGGGATGCCTTTTTCCTGCTCTGGAGTCTTGCCATGAACATGCCTTGGCTTGCCTGGCCAGGATGTACCAGTGCCCTTCTGGGTGCCCTCCCACCCTCCCCAAACACAGCAAAGGGAAACACCCAGCACCAGCTCCCATTGTGCTGGGAGGTCAAAGGGGGAGCCACATCCCAGGATTGCATGGCAGAGGGAGGCTGCACCTGCCACCAGGAAGCCTTTGAGACATCTGGGGTGAAACCTGTCCCTTTGTTCTGGCTCCAGCACATCACTCCGGCTGTGCAGCGCACCCAGCCCGCTGCTGCATGGTGGGGAGCCCCAGAGCAGTAGGATCTGGCAGGGACTGTGGTTGAGGGGTGCCAGAGCAGCCCGCTGTGATTTATCTCCTGCCTAAAGTGCTGCCAAGTCTTGCAAGCTGCTTCTGATGAAGCCCTTCGATCTGGTGCAGAAAGGGCTCTGCCTGCCCCATGATGGCCAAGAGGCAGCAGAGCTGTGCCAAGCCGCTTCACTCAATCTCCGCATTCATCCCACCAGGAATCCTCACCAGGCTGCTCTCTGCTACAGCCACACAAGGTTGCACACCCAAGGAGGCCTGCCAGATGCTGGCAGGACTTCCCCGAGATGGGGAACCAAAAGGAAAAGAAGGCAAAAAAAATTAAGCACTCGCAGCACCCTGTAGCTGGGGGAGATCCCTGCATGCCAGCAGTCCCTTGTCCCCACAAAGAGGGCAGAGGAGACAGAAACCTCTTTCTTCTGCAGTAAGCTACACTGCATGAAAGCATGTGTGGGAGCTCAGCAGGAGGCTGGGCAGCAATGCAGTCAGGGCTGCCAGGTTCCCTCTTCCATGCCCTCTCTGCAGCCCTAGCTCTTGGCTCCAGGGCCAGACTCACAGCCCCTCAGACAGGCTGATGTCTGAGTCAGCCAGGCAGCTGGGACATTATCCAAATAAGAGCTTTGGCAAAGACTGGCAAAGCACTTGAAGACTCTCACATGAAGCAGTTTGCAGAGAGGAAAGCACCAGCAGCA